CACTAAGTGCGAGAATCTAACTTTCAAGATACAATGCACACTTTGCAATTCTGGTATCGTGATGTGAGGCCTTTCTTCTCGCTTGGAACCATTGTTCGAATTTCGAATTGAAAGGTAGGTGTGGTTACTGCGCCCGAAAATCGAAAGTGCTGCGGTGGTGGTTGCACAATACTAGGAATTAAAGTAAGCAAAAATTTGCTCAGCGCTCCAAACACTTGCCGCACCGGCCCAATGGGTGAGCTTCGCCCATAGAGATACCACTGCCTGCTTCCATGTCTGCCATTATCTTTAGCATATCAAATGAACGGCCTAGCTAACGTCAGGCCCCCCGAAAACATGCTAGAGCACGCTCTATATAAGTTTCATAGTAGCCTTTTGTATAGAGGTTTCTAGTTAGTTTTTTTACTAATTTTATTAGGGAAAACAACTTCAGCTACGTTAATCTTCGAGCGCAATTATCCCGGCCGGTCAATTGCATAATGTGCTTTCAAGGTACATGTCGTCATGAAAGACGAGCAAGTGTCGCTAGTAAGATTGAGGGAATCGTACAACCCACACTAACCAATTTCTCTCCCCTCTGCAAGTCGCTTGATGATAGAATGTGAAGGGAGGAACACGGTTTCGGGTTTATTCGCTGACTTCAACTTGGGAGGGTACGGGACAGTGGTAATCGAAGGCCGATGTCAGGCTTTACGAATACAGCGGTTCGATGCAGCGATTCGCTACGTCCGCATTCGCGTTGCGGTACCGGCCAATCGAGCGATTCGCTGGCCGAGACGCGACCGCGGACGCTAGGGATCACTCTATTTGCAAAGTCTGACATCGGCTCAGGCCGGAATTTGGTCGTACTTCGGCGATACTCTTCGCCTCTGTGATACCTATTATAACTTTCCACCTTTTGACCTCATTGTATACCATATATTCTTCAAAGAATAGAACCTAACGTACCTCCACAGATGGCACGTCGACATCACCTGAAATATTGGCTGAGCTGATATATTACAATAAAATATTAAGCTTCATCCAGAAGTTGCATTGCAAGTAATGCTCACCGGCTGAATCAGCGCTGTCAACTGCAGCTTGTCTCGCTGCAGCGGAAACTGAAAATTACCAGCGTTCAACAAAATGATCAATTTTGAGGCGAGTAACATTTTCTTGTTCCCTATCGAAAAGGAATCACAAGACCCGAAAGATTCAGCAAAACGTACCAAGAAGAAAGAACACAAAGTAGAGAGTGAGCATGTGGAGTTTTGAGGTCCGTATGCTGATTGGGAGTTTTATAGCGGTTCACAGACGTCACCAGTGCGAACATAATTCGTATAATCCCTCCGTTTCCACGATTTTTCAATTCGCTATGATTGACTCATCGAAATCCATTTGCAACGTTTCCAAAAGATGAATTGAAGTCGCAATTTTGAAGGTACCCCGCCTTGGAGAAGACGACTTAAAGACGACTTGTTTTCACTGAAAAATGTGTGAGAGTGTTGTCAAAATCATCTATCTTGGTCCCGGTCCAATTAATACAATATCATCTGGCAGGAGTGTTAAGTAACAGCATCAGCAATCTCAAGCTCCGTAGCTGTTTATCGGTTTCAGTNAAGGATCACGTACAGCTCGAGGTGAACTAGGCGCATCTCCAGCGCTATCTTCGTCTTCTAGGCTTGCTACTGAATCCGGCGAATTCGGGGAACGATCTGTTGACTGCAACAAAACGTATCAAGTTTTTTTTGTCGACAATCTAGGGAAGAGGAGAAAAAGACAAAGGCAGGCTCCCGAAAAAAAAAACTTAGAGAAAATCTGGGACTTTGGCTGGAGAATAAAATTTTCATCTCTTGTTTTTTTTTTCAATGGCTCATACATCCAAAACTTTGATGGTGCTATTGCTGAGAACTCCAATCGCATACAGGAACATTCAGAGTTTACAAGCTACCACTGACTGCCCACATCCATCGACTAGCTTCTCCTACACGAATATTTTTCAAGCCAAGCTGAAGACACTAAGTTGCGAGAATCTAACTTTACAAGATACAATGCACTCTTGCAATCTGGTATCGTGATGTGATGCCTCTCTTCTTGCTTTGGAACCATTGTTTGAATTTCGAAATTGAATAGGTGTAGGTTACTGCGCCCGAAAATCGAAAGTGCTGCGGTGGTGGTTGTACAATACTAGGGATGAAAGTAAGCAAAAATTTGCTCAGCGCTCCAAACACTTTCCGCACCGGCCCAGTGGGTGGCTTCGCCCCATAGAGATATCACTGCCTGCTTCCATGTCTGCCATATCTTTAGCATATCAAATGAACGGCTAGCCAACGTCAGGCCCCCCGAAAACATGCTAGAGCACGCTCCTATATAAGTTTCATAGTACGCCTTTTGTATAGAGGTTCCTAGTAGTTTTTCACTAATTTTATTAGGGAGAACAACTTCAGCTACGTTAATTTTCGAGCGCAATTATCCCGGCTGGTCAATTGCATAATGTGCTTTCGAGGTACATGCCGTCATGAAAGACGAGCAAGTGTCGCTAGTAAGATTGAGGGAATCGTACAACCCACACTAACCAATTTCTCTCCCCTCTGCAAGTCGCTTGATGATAGAATGTGAACGGAGGAACACGGTTTTGGGTTTATTCGCTGACTTCAACTTGGGAGGGTACGGGACATAATCGAAGGCCGATGTCAGGCTTTACGAATACAGCAGGTTCGATGCAGCGATTCGCTACTTCCGCATTCGCGTTGGCGGTAACCGGCCCAACCGAGCAATTCGACTGTTCGCGGCGAGACGCGACCGCGGACGCTAGGGATCACTTATTAATGCAAGTTCATGACATCGGTCAGGCCGGAATTTGGTCGTACTTCGGCGATACTCTTCGCCTATGTGATACCTATTAAAGTTTGTCCACTTTTCACCTCATTTATACCATAGTTTCTTCAAAGCATAGAACAAGTACCTCCACAGATGGCAACGTTCGACATCACTGAAATATTGCTGAAGTGATGATTATTCAATAAAATATTAAGCGTTCATCCAGAAGTTGTATTTGCATGTAATGCTCACCGGGCTGAATCAGCGCTGTCAACTGCGCCTTGTCTCGCTTGCAGCGGAAACTGAAAAATTACCAGCGTAACAAACATAATCATTTTTTGGCGAGTAACATTTTTTGTCTCCCTATCGAGAAAGGAATCAACGAGACCCTAAAGCTTCGCAAAACGTACCAAGAGAGAAGAGCACAACATAGAGAGGAGCAGTTTGGATGTTTTGAGGCCGTGTTGCTGATTGGGAGTTTTATAGTGGTTTTAAAAGGGGCGAAAATAAATTTCGTTATAATCGCCCGTTTTCCACATTTTCTCATTTCGGCTATGATGACTCATCAAATCCATTTGCCACATTGTTCAAAAGATGAATTGAAGTCGACATTTGAAGGTACCCGCACTTATGAGAAGAACTTGTTTTCCACTCGAAAGCTCGAGAGAGGCGTCAGAGTGTCGCAGCATCTGTCTACTTGGCCTCGGTGCAGGTTACTACAACACCTCGAGTGTCTTTGGCATCGACAACTAACGGCGAACCGCAACTAAGCGCTTTATAGCCTTCGAATCTGAAAACCTGTGTTGATCATGTGGCGCTCAACTGTCTCGCTCCATGAAATCATGAGTAGTGTCTAGTCGAAGGTACATCGAGTAACTGTGCATCTATCTTTGATGCCTCCCTGTGGCTGAACCCATATGCAAATTAATGAGTCACTTGTCTTTATTTCACGGTTTATTCTCTCTGCCTTAAAGGCAAAAGACGGGCCGATAGGGGGTAATTATGGCGATTGAAGCTGAGTATAAGAGACAGGAGTAATATATAGTGAGAAACGACAAGCAGAAAAACGGGAAAGAGCATTGTGACAAGGCCGTTCACAAGAACTCCTCTTTCCCAATCTTGCAAGAAAGGAGGCTGGCTTAGGGAAGAGGGCACGAACACAAGTATTCTGTGAGATATCAGTCTTTTTTGGTAGATCCGCAATCAACCTAGAGTGATTTCAGAACGTTTTTGCCAGCCATGGCACCACATTCCCAAGGTGGCGCGGTTCGTAGGAGGCAGGCGCGATAGCGCATAGTACATGCCCTGGGGCCTTATTACTGCACCGTTTTCGGGGTTTTTGAGTGCGGGCACATCTCCACGGTGCGTACTCAAGTACGGACTGACCGAAAGGGTTGGTTGGTTGAGCTAATTCCGACTTTGCTTAAAGGAAGAATCCGGGAACAAGAGGAAGCTTATCGCAAATCAAGCTGAAGATGGCAAGGATCATGACAAAATAAAATAACCGAGAAACGCGGTTAGAAGCCCGAGAAATGGGGTCCCTTTCTTGCCAGTGGTCCGCAAACTTAGGGGGCCACCTATCAGTACACAGGGAAAGTTCGCTTTCCCCGACCTTCTTCTTTATTGCTGCATCCTCCTTTAACCCTTTGACTGCTCTGGGTACACACGTGTACCATACCCGTAGTCATAAGTACTACCACATTTTTGAACTTATTGAGACAGGAGCTCCTGCTTGATGACGAACTATGCACAAATGAAATTCATAATTTATGCCGTGAGAATAACGTGTCACAAGACTAGGCGTTTTACCCTGGATTAGTCAGTATAGCAAGTACCATAGTACTGCTATTGCTCGTTCCTAATACTGAAATGAGTATTTGTAAGTGTTAGTGATAATGTTAAAAGTTAAACTGAAAGTTCATTTTTCAAGAATATTCATAGGAAGGAGATGACATGATGGGAAGGGGGCTGCTACTGATCTCAAAGCCAACTAACCGCCTGTGCCGAGTAATAGCCGCTAAATGCGTTCGTAGTGTAATAGTTAGCATGGATGCCTTCCAAGCATTCGACGGGGGTTCGATTCCCCCCGAACGCATGTCTTTTGCAGACCTTCTGAGACGACCGCGAAAGTCACCCAATGGGGAAACATCCGCTTTCTGTTATCTCATCTCTTCTTTCGAGTGGATGTGGACTTTTCACAAGCGTTCGTGGTGTAATGGTTAGCATGGATGCCTTCCAAGCATTCGACGGGGGGTTTCGATTCCCCCCCGAACGCAGTCTTTTGCAAACTCAATAAGAGAATTTGCCCTGTGGAAGCCTACTAGACTCCTTTAGTAGAATTTCTGAAAAGTGACCATTTCCAGTGCTAATCTGAGGGATCTCTTCAACGCTGAGGGGGAGCCGATGGAAATGTGCGCTCGTAGTGTAGGTGGTCAAAATTGGCAGGGTCGAGAAGCATCTGATTATGGTGTCACTCCCCAGAATGCTGTTCTTAGGATGCTCGAATTTTTCATATTCTTTACAAAATTAGAAAAGCGTACTATTTACCTTGACACATAATAGCCACTCTACGCGGCGTTTACACTTCTAATTGAACGATTTTTACTGGTATCTGAACACTCGACTTTTCCTAAAAAATGAAGGGCCGTGAGCATAGGAAAGAACCATTATAATTGAGACACAACACTGGAAGATTGATGAATCAAAGAGAGCACTGCAGTTTTCTGTTTTCAGGCGTTCATTACTGTCTTTGATGGCCGACAAATCTTGATTCAAATCCGAATAAGCGCTATGTGAATCCAACTGACAGGCACAGTATGAAGCAAAGGTTAGTTGACTATGTGTTATTATTCTATGTAAATTGTGTAAACATTCAGGAAGTATGTTTAAGCTGGTTCGAAAATGTGGCAGGTTGGGCCGCCGAGACTCCGTTTGCGATTTCAATCGAAAAAGTCGTCCACTGCCTTTCGAACTGGTCTATTTGACGTGGAGTTTTCGATGGCAACTATCTGCCTATTTTCTGATAAATAAATTCATTTCTTAGTAGGCTAGCGCAAGAGGGGGGCGGCACAGACCTGACGTTTCACAGTACGGCCATATTATACTCCGGTGAGCGTTTGGAACACGGACCTTCCTAGCCGCTTAATTTTTATATCTTTCTTGTTTTTGTACGAAATTGTGGGTTTAGCGCTTTTTCGCGTTAAGGACCATGGCGACAAGCTCTAGAGGGCATCGCGCTGCCACAGTCCTTGAGAATCACAGGTTTCGAATCGCAACACATTTTTTCTTTAATGTTTTTGTATTAGTGTTTTTGTTATTGTTCGGTACTCTAAGATTATACTGCACGGTTTGTGTTTGCGGCTTTCTTTCGTGCAAAGCTTGCTAGAAGTATGCTGCTGAAATGAATTAGGGCGACGCCCAACCCCCCCCCCCCCTCCACTCCCCCCACGCACACCATGCCTGTTCTACGGTCCTGCGAATTTTCTATTTCCCTATTAACGCGTAAGAAGCATTACCCGAAGCCTGGATTTATCCACGGCAAGCGTTTCAAGCTAACCACAAAAAATAAGTTCGCGAACTTGATAGAAAAAATAAAAAAAGAGATAATAAAGTCGGATTGACCATTAAAATTCACTGATCTCAGTTATGTACATGTTTTTTTGAGTACGTTTTCTTCTGGAGTGCTGTACACTCAGCAGCTATGCCTGTTTGAAATGTTGTTTTGTGTTATTTGACTTGAAGCTTATGACGCCTTATTGTATTTCACATTGTTCCCTTCCATTTAACGCTGAATGCCCCCTCGCGTTACAGATAGCGCCCGTCCTAACAGCAGCTACAACGGTTGACGTCCATAAATTGAATTCTTAATTAAGGACGACACTTCCTCGTCGCCTCAATACTATAGCCAACCACTATCAGTCGATGACCGCTGATTGAGAACAGTGCTACAAAAACTCCTTTAATAAGTAAGTCAATTGTATTGTCACAGCACGTCTCACAATCAGAAACTGGGTCATTAGGTTCGGATTTGGGCAGTCAGTAATTAGGCGATCTCCGACACTAGAGCTAAGCACCACTGTTGGCACTTGTTAGACCGGCTGATGAGACCACAACGACGATAACTTTGAAAGGCAGTGAACATGATGGCTGGAGCGGGCAGTTGTTAAGACGTCAATTTTGGCGGCATATAGGCGCGGTTCTCCCGATCCTCTTATCGTGCTGCATGAAGCACCACTCCAAACCCCACTCTTATAAATGACGTCTCAAAAAAAAAGGACCCACCCCTCATACGTCCAAACTGAAACCCTCAAACCGAGAACTACTCTATTTATTATTGCTAGTGCTTTACAATTGAGCTTATGCAATGAATTGTACTTTCAGTCTATCAAACACAAATGTTGCAAATTGTCCCATCCAAATAGCCAAGTCTCGCAATATCTCCTATTCCATTCAGCAAGGGTTTCCTTTCGAATTAAACTCTCACATTTCACTACAATTTTATCCGATGTAATAGCAGTTGGAAGTCTAGTTCATTGTTCCAGTAACAACGAATTATAATCAATTTTTCGGACTGTTATGATGATTTGCTCTTCCTGTCGTTGTCAGCTGCTTTTAGGCAACATCAATGATCTGCACGTCATATTATGTCCGTGAGTCTAAAATATTATCTATGAATTATTAATTTACTTATTATTTGATCGCTACTTTGTTTACATGACAAATCATACCTAGCAATGCTAGTGAATAAGAACAGTTTCTTAATAGTTTACATGTTAGAATATTAAGTAAATTAGAATATGGTCTTAGTGGAGATGTAAAGAGGTCGAAATTTGTACTTTTGAAATTCACTGCATACCACATCGAGTCGTTGGAACAAATCATTTCTCCGGTAAACGTGGCTTTTTTCCGTGATGCAGAATCGTGGCATGACGCACAGAACAATTGCTAGTTAGCTTTCGGAGATGCCACATCCACCGCAGTTGTTATGAGTCGGCGTCTCGCCGTCCTACACTCCCTCGTCGCCCAACATTCATTTGCATCAGTACCTTCCAGTAAACTCGTTATAGCTCCCAAAATAAGCGGGCCCCCCGCCGTTCGAACGTTTCGCAATCGCTTCCTCTTTCGTCAGTGCTGTTGCCAACCCCACCTTCTATTTCGGTTTTCAATGGCACAATCCATAAAATCTAGATATAACAAGTTCATGGAAATAATTCGTCAGACAGATGAACTGCTTTCGCCGTCCACAGATACCGAACATCTCTTATTCCAGGGTCGAAATGCATCATACTAGTCGTTATACAGCTAATTTCTTTCACATGTTTGACGTGCATCATCATTCTTACATTGTTCATTGTAGTTGTCCTTACGCCCACACATTACTCACAAGTACTTCGTCTTTGATTCTCGTCTTTCATCGCCATTGTATCCACTATTAGTTCTGTCATCGGAATTCAGTTAATTTTTTTCCAGCTGAGAGAAGAGTGATTTAAGGAATACAACAACAATTTGCATGCGGGTGGTGGATAAAGATTTTCATTGGTACAACTTGCAGCTTACCATTAGGACCGTTACTGACAGCATCAGCGCGCTAGCAGATAACTACCTCGATCATCCTTGTAAAAGCTGAGCGCATTCGACGCTGTTAGCTCTATTGCTGGAGTGCGCCACACATTCTACATTCATCGCTAATCGTGTTCGTATATGTTGTAGCTTATACAATAATTTATGCTATCCAACATATATGTATACAAAATAGTGCCTAGGTTCGCCCAGACAAGTCAGGTACCCATTATCCGACCCTAGAAAGACGAAAGGCTTGGTTGGCCTGGGCTAGATTGAATCTGGAATTTGATCTTTAGTCCGTACGTGTGGCATACGCCGTTGCCGACATAATAACTTGTAGATAATGAATTGTAAAGCATTCGGTAATGATCACTGCTTGTGGGATGAACAACGCATTTCATTTTCTTTAGAATCGCATTAGCGCTGTTTTGAGAACACTTATGGTTAGGCCTATGGATTGACTTGCGGGGGCGGGATGGTGTAATAGTCTGTTTCACCCTTCCAAGGCAAGCTTAGTACCATCTAAGCGACCCTGAGGGTTGGAAGATTGGCTGGATTGGACCTAGAACGGCCCATGCTTTGATTTTCCCACCGCGCACATGGGAAGTGGCACATGCCTAGCGATATCCTACTCGTTTTACAAACCCGAGTCTCATTTGATGATTACTACGATTCCGTAAGGGAGCTGGTCGCACGGCGCTCCTTAGGACTTAAGGAGACACTAGCGCCAAATGCTTTACAATTTTCTGAAAATAACTACTGCTACAACTCTTTACAGATGATTATCGCCAAATCTGATCTATACGGGGTGAAACCATTCACTTCGATGGTATTTATGCCAGGTACGTAAATTTTAATCACAACACTTTGAAATGAGGACGATTTTTTGGTCTATTCATGAGGAATTTTTGAATATGTGTGGAACCCCACCCACTCACAGAGCTGCATCAACTCCACTGTGTTTTCTTTTCAGTCTGCGTCTCTCACATCACTTCGGTTTTTCTACTCTATCGCATCCCATATTCCTATCGATGCATTCTGTTTACTATTGATTTTGTAATATTTGAAATTCTGTTGTCAATCTTCCCTGTCTATGGAGCGACACCGGCACAGAGCTTTTTAAGGTACTTTTTTCGGAGCTATTACTTACTCTTTTATCGATTCTTCATTTGTTCTGGAACTTTAATGTTTTCCCAGGGCTCCCAATACCCTTTGAAAAGCCTTTGAACAGCAACTCTGCTTGCTTACTTATCTATTAAATTATTTTTTGTCAGTGTATAGATAATGACAGAATAATAATCAAGAGCAAAATTGACCGCAATTAGAGATAGATAAATCGTTGATTTAGAATTTTGCATCTTCCTCAAAACTATTCTGAAATTGAAAAGTATTACCCATTGCCTTTATTCATTTGAGCTGATTTAATATATTTAACCATGTTTGTTCTCATTTTTTTTTAAATTATTTTTAACTATATTTTCCCTGGTTTTTTTTTATTTTTAATTTGTCACTTTTTGCCTATTATACTTGCATTAAGTCCACTTCAGCTATCAGCATCACAACGGTCGCCTCAATCTCTCCTTTTTACTGGTTTCTGGTACTCTTCATTGATTGGATTGTACGGTGATTAATATCACTTATCATATTAAATCTCCGATAATTCTGAGTATATCCAGCAGGCTTAGTAAAGTGCAATTGAACGATCACATGTTCTTGTGTGTCTCCCACCTAGAGCTCGCCATACCCCCGCTGCTTTCTGCCACTTCGCGCGAGAGGACTCCTGTCAGCTGAGCCATTTTTCAAATGCACGAGTTGCTAGTCTTCTGGTTTCTGAAAGAGGAGGCTAACGTGTTTGGAAATTGCATTCTGTATTCGAAGTCATAAAATAAAAACACTTGGATGCTTCGGCATTTTATGAACTTTAGAATTTTCCAAACGATTGTTATCATTGAAAGGCGAGGGCAGCTTCACCCCCAATCACACCCTCTGACTAGAATCAGCTTTACCGAACTAACCGCTACAAACTACCAACAGGGAAATTCGGAGGGGGCTGCAACTGTTAAAGGATCTACTTCTCACGCAAAGCTTCGCTGACCCTCACACGTTTTCCAGTAATTTTCTCGCTGTCCAGTTCAACCCTCATGTATACCAGTTCATTCAATATGACCTGGAAGTTGGGTTTGAAAAAAAGAGCGCTTTTTCTAAATGAGCGTGAAATTGCTCCATGAACTTCCCTCATATTCAGGCATGTCAGCTTGACTTCAAGCGAATTTCTGCGCGTGCCAATTTCAGACGAATTAGGAAGAAAACGAAAACGCCTGCAAATGTGTCGTCAAGAACGAAGGAACGTGGAATGGCAACGATGCAGACTTAATAAACTTCTTATCCGACATATTCAGCCAGTAGTGTCGCCTCGCATATTTCTGGCCCCGGATAGGCGCAGTTCGATGTGGTTTGTGTTCAGATTTTTCTTTACGAAATGCAACAATTTATTAACATCCCGAACTCGTTGATATTTACCAATGCTAGCAATGGTAGGAGACAGGGTTAGTCATTGTTTGAACTATATATTGCAGGCGGAGGGGAACGGGTAGCGTACAAGTCTCCGTCGCCTATATTCCTATCCACACTTCAGTCATCGATGGTGTCACAACCCTGTAGCCAGTACTCGTCGTGACTTTCGCGACGTCGGCGGTTCAGTCCACGACACAAGGGGGAGAACTCCCCCCGCAGCCCGTCCTCCCATGGCCCCGTCCTGCGTTCACGCAGAAACCGTCTCAAGTGGTTTGTGATAAAGAAACGTTTGGAAAGCCATTTGACATAACACTTTGATAATTAAAATTTCATGTAGTGACTGAGCATGAAATACAGTATAAAAAGAAACGTACCTAACTCCAGAGCAGTACGGGAGATGGGGCTGAGCTCGTCGAATCGCGAGGGTGAATTAGCAGGTATCATGAGAGAGCGGGGGGGGGAATTCGCTGACGAAGTACGAATGAATGTTCCTTCTGAACAGCGCGCGATTATTGGAAGCGTGCCCCACGGTTTGACGCTCTTTTAAAACGTTGACGACATCGCATGTTTTGGCCATTTGCAACCGATACTCGTGGGACAGGCGGCGATTTTGGCGACGCGCCGTCCTCACCTTCCTTAACGCTTATTTTTTGTTAAAATGTCATAAACTTGAATTCCATCAGGACTATTTCGGTAAGTGACGCTCGCACAAAGGTAAGTATTCACTGTATCACCTGTCGTCCGCGTTTGATTCTATCGAATTGCTCGATGCGGGCGCCAGCAACGCCCCCATTCGTCCCTGTCGCGTGGCAAGAAGTTGTCAGTGGACGCCTCCTCGCTCGAGGGAAAGGTGTTCTTCATTCTTTCGTTAGAGCTTTCGGAAAGAAGTCGACCATCGGCCGGTGGTCGTCCAGGTCTTCGTTGACGTCCCGAGGGATCGCAGTCGGTCCGCTCTGGTCCAACGGTCACGCAAATCGCATGACGTGTCCGGCCACCTTACTTCGATTCCTTGGCGAAAACGCAGCGTCCCTGATTTTCGATCGTTTTGGCGTGAGTTCGGCACTCCGGATTCGGCCTCTGCACTTGGCGTGTACAGGGTTACTTCCTAGCATCGTCCTTCGACAGCGCGTTGGATAAGGCTGACCGCATGCTCGTCTGCTTGCGCCATGAGTCCACGTCTGGCTGAGGCATAGGTTAGGGCCGGAAGGACGCGGAATCGAAGAGGTGGGCACGGAGGCCGGATGTTCTTCGTCTCTGCCCTACTGTCCCTCGAGTTCTAATACGCTCCCCAAGCCGCTGCGTTCCTCCTGCTGCAGCTCTTGGAGGCTCGATTCGTTCATCATATTGATGTTCGCCCGACCTAGGTACACGTTAAGCTGGAGCATTCGTGATGTTCGTTCCGTTGAGCGTGAAATGGGCATCAGGAAACCAATTCCGTTTTCTCATAAATCGTCTCGTTAGGTTCAGCTGTAGGCCCAACCCTTCCGCACAGGCGCAGTCGAATCACCAGCATTCGCTTCGCTTGCTCGATGTTCGGCGTTATCAGAACGATGTCGTCCGCAAACGAAGTGGTGTAGTGCCGGCCGTCGACCTTCACTCCATGTCTTTCCCTTCCAGTTGCGCATGAGTTCTCCGAGAGTGGCGCTGAAGAGTTTGGGCGAGATGTGTGTCGCCCTGTCGACCCCTCTCTTGACGTCGAATGATGATCCTTGAGAATGCGAGATCACTGGTCGTAAGTTTGCTGTTAAGGCTCACGAAGATCCGATGTACTCGAGTAGAAACGCCATGGTTGCCCAAGGCTCGATGACCGGTTCTTTCTCCACAGAGTCGCAGGCCTTCTTCAAGTCGATGAAACGTGAGACAAAGACGGCCATCCTTGTACTCTCGTGAACTTCAATTTGACTCTTAACCTGTGTGGGTATATGGTCGATCGTGGCTGAACCTCTCGAAACCTGCTTGCTCGCATGGCTGTCCTTCAATCTATATATTCTGCGACCTGTTAAGGATGACTCGAGTGCTGCTGTAGAGTGACAGACTCGCAGGCAGATTCGATAGTTGCCAATCGTCGTCGCAAGGTGTCTCGCTCTGTACAGTCAAACACGGTCCTGCTTGGTTTTCCAAGCGGAGTGGGTACCTTTGCATTCCGACAGGTAGCGGCGTGAAGAGTCGAGCAGAGTTTTGATGATTACTGCGGCCGCCCCCATCCTCTCCAGATGTCTCCGGTTTGATCCTGGTCGCGACCGGTGCTTGTACGATTCTTCACCGACTGTGATGCGTGTGCGACTTCGGAAGAGAGAACTGAGGGGAGACGTCCCATCCTGTTGCATTGATAAGTGGGCTGAATGGACATGGCTATCGAAGAGATCCGAGTAGAAGTCGTGGACTGACTTTCTCTGCATTGCCCTTCGGGACTGCGGTGACTGTTCCATCCGACGTCGGAGGCTAGGTCATCTTGGTCTGTGTAGGCTTGGCAAAGCCTCGGTGCGGGCATTGCGGATGCTCCTCCCAGCCTTCTGCTGCTTCACCAATCCTGGTCTGCTCTTTCGCTCCTTTGAGATCTTCCGCTTAATCGCCTCTCTGCATAGCTTCGCCGCTCGGACGTTGAGTCGTGATTGCCCGTGCAGCTCGGTGCGGCTTCCGACGCTGGCGTATCAGTTCGAGATTTCCGGAGACAGACGTTCCCTTGTGTCTTTCAAACTCTCTGTCTTCCTTGCGGCAACACTCGTGAAGATGTTCCACGGCGATAGTAACCTCCCTCGTTCGATGTTTTCGATGACGGAATTCTCTTCCCATAAGCTGACGAGGGAAGCGAAGTGATCCCAGTTGCTGACTGTCCTGGGGCTTCGCTTCCTGAATTCGAGGCTCTCTCCACACGCATCGAAAGTGGAACTATTGCGCGGAGGAGACGATGGTCTTGATCCCGTGAGAACTTCGGAACCACAGGCGAGTCGGTAGGCAAAACGCTTTCGATGAAGATGACGTGGTCTATCTCGTTATGGAACTGCCATCAGTGACTCCCAGTCCAAACGAAGGAGGGGGCGGGGCTTTGGAACTGTGAGTACATGGATGGTGGTTGGTCGACTTATAAACTCGACAGTCTCTCCCCCTGTGCCTTCATTCATTCCGTGAGTACCGATGTAATTCTTCAGCCGTTCTTCTTGGGGCCAATCTTAGCGTTGAAGTCGCCGCACGATGACTAAAGAAGGTATGAGTCTTCCCTGTAGAACTTCTCCATTCCATATAGAATGCTTCGTGTTCTTCTCGTCGTAACGCTGATGTTGGTGCGTAGGCGACGAAGATTGTCAAGCAGGAGTTGAACCAATCTTCTCAATCTCCAACGTCCGATTCGGGTTTCAGGCTTTGTAACGAATGCGATGCTTATAAGGCCAAGTGCGTGTTGACCGAGGAACCCCACACACCACGCTCTGCGTGTCGCATGTTCCAAGGAACAGTTCTTACTCCCAGTATTCGAAAACGGCTGAGCGGGCGGTGCCTTCTCCGTCTCGGTCAGTCCGATGACGTCGTACTTGATCTTCCTTGGCCATGAAATCATCAAGATCTTCGATGTAAGCTTCGGATGCAGCGTTCGTCAGCGTTGAAAAGTACGATCGGCCCATCCTTAGTCCTTCTTCGTTTTGGCAGCCTATCCGGGCCTGAGATTCTATAGTAGGATTCGTTTAGAAAGCGCATAAAACCACGAAGAAGTAAAAAAACCACTTTCGCTGGCGAATGAATAAAAGCAATTTATATGCTAAGTACTCGCCATCAAATCAATATGTTGAACTCCAGAGTTTATTTCAACTACTCTAAAATCTTCATAAGAATGTTAGACGGCAGTGAAAGTATTATTAAGAAAGAATCGGACGAAAAGTTTTGTGCGTTCGGAAAATCTTTGCCTATCAAAAGATACTTGACCACTCTTGGCTGCCAAGCGGTTTAATAGTCATCGCTAATGTATTATCTATAGAATGAATACAAAACCGAGATGAAGGAGCGCAAGCACGATAAATAGTGAGTAGCATAGACTTGACAGCGCTTGCGCGTCAGATGTCGTGCGGTGCGAAATTCTTTGACGCGCTTGCGCGTCAAATTGTCGTCACCGTGTTAAACATGGCGTGACATGTTCAGTTTCATGTTCGCATTGGAGCGCGTATTTCTCGTCGACATGGAGGTCGGTCACGTTAAGAATCAGGCTCCAACTCGCCGCTAAATTCAAAAGCACATCGGTGCGGTGATGTTTTCGCCAGTATCTCTAACAATTTGCATAACATCCCAGACAATTCCTGTTTCCATTCCCACCGAAAGCAGTTTTCATCATCCTCAATGCGTTCTTCCCTCTCCTAAGGCAAATATGTCCCTGTCAAGGAACTCCGCCCCCGTTGCGTCTGATGGTGCATGTGCGCATGCCCGAACCAGCAATATATTTCTGCGGATAGGATTCTGAAGAGTACGGTGATCGTTTCAGGAGCTGTATGCCGCGTCAACAGAATATGTTTGCTGTGATTTTCGCAAAACTCTCATTCCAATTTCAAGGCTTTCTGGAAGTCAGTGGGACACAGTCGGAAACTCGAATGTTGCGAGCTTCTCAACGAAATCGTGTGCGAAATTCGACAAGGTTTAATTTATATACGTTTTCTTGCTCTTTAAAAGGTAATAGGTTCAAAGCGTCACATCATCTCTCACAAAGTATCAGCTGATTAAGAGACGTCAAGCACCTGTGGTGTTACGGTAATCTCCTTTAAAGTAGCCCCCATGTCCTGCATCTTTGCTCCCTGAAGCGGTGGGATCAGTGATCGATACACATTTATGACGTTTTGATTGTTTCGTATTGAGGTGACTCTTGTTCCATTTCTTAATTGTTAAATGATGCACAAAAAATAAACAAAAGCAGAAATAGTCAGTAAATTTTTCAACCAGAATGCCCTGGTTGTGCACAGAACTTTCGCCCCAGGCGGAGACGCAGAACTCCGCATCCCTCGCTTTCCAGACAATGCCGCCTAACAGTTGCGCCCATCAGTAATAATTTATGGCGTTTGCTTGAAAGAAGCAACAATTTCACTGCCTTCCTTACATGCAATGGTCGATTTTTTTTATCTTGTTTCCTTTGAAAAGTCTAAAATATTTACTTTCCCTTTAACTGCTCTCTAAGCCGAATTCCAGTCTATTGAACAGATCAAAACCGTCTCAAGCACCTACATGGCGGCAGGCCCGTCTGAACGCACAATGGAAGCCGTCTCGATGATTGTGTGAGTTAAAAACTCTTCTTATTTCTTTTACTTTAGCACGATTGCTCGAAAAATTCAAAAGTCCTTAGGAAAGGCGGTGAAAACAATCTGTTGTTTCTACGAGAAAAAATTTCAGGAAATTCACTGAGGATAATCGCAGTGCGAATCAACGCCCTTGTCCCTAAGCACAATGTCATCATATCAACACGAAAGGCGATGGGCGAATCTTGTGAGTTCGATTTTGAGACGCTAGACTTAATGAAAATGCGATGTGAAAAATCGAATAATTGGACGGAATATGGATCGATGAAATCGAATTGTCGGTAGAGGCTCAGTCTGAAACACATCATTGTAACCTTCACAACTACTCAAAGTACGCTGAGAACACCACTATTCCTGATAGATCTAGATCCAATAATCGATTGCACAAATTGACCGGCAATGTGGCTTTTCGCGTGGGGGGGGGTCAGCCGTAATATGCGTCATGTTCACCCGAAAAGGCTCGTTTCCTGTATTCAGCCAAGAGCACAAGATGGGGGAGCAGAGGCGCGTGTAATTCTTATTCTCTCCAGAATTCATCCCTCTCCGTAAGGCTAATCCTAAATCTTACAGACCCCCTCCCCCCCCACCCCAGAAGCGCACTGCGCCTGACAACTGTTTTGGCAAAGAAAACAAGAAGACCTGAAGTCACCCATTTGAACAGAGATAATTCCGATAAGGAAAAACTCGATGTGCACGAAATTTTCTGCAATTACAGAATTTGAAAATGTACCGTAATGCGACGATGATGATTGAATTCGCCTTGGCCATGTCGCAGATACTCGATCAGCTGAATCGTGATTCATTCCAGAACTTTGAGTTACGGATAGGTGAGTAACGTTTTTTTAGAGCGAGTGCTGAGATAGTCTTGGAACTAAGGCAAGCATCCGTTGTTCTAATAATTCCAGATATTTGACACCCCCCCCCATCCGCCACAGGGCGTCTCCATACAATTGTCAGACATCAACACCTGTCTCACTAGAGGCCTCCATAGACCCTTGAACCACTATCTTTCTCCACCAACACAACCGTTGCTGTACTGTTTCTACAGTATTTCGTTCCAAAACAGTGGACTCGCTCCAACTCCGCCCACTTTTTTCTTCGAAAGTGCCGTCGAGCACGGTAAGAGACGGGGGAGGCGGGGGGAGGGCAGAGAGGAAGGATGGGGGGCTAACTCCGACTTAAGAAGCGGCGAATTCTCTAATTTTGCCAAATTCGTCCAATCAAGTTTTTTTTTCATGAAGTTTTCGCCAACCCGTCAAACATGTCCGCTTTCCCGCATTCTTGACCAGCGCCTTCCACAAGTACGACCTCCCTTTCGACCTTGTGAACTTTGCCAAGCCCAAATACGACGTCCCTCCAAAAAACTCATACAGGACCCAATCCTCCCCCCCCCCCGGTTTCCTCTGGAAACTGCGCAACTGCGCTTGAACCTGCTTCAAATCAGGCATTTAGCATCGATTAATACATCTCAGAAAATATTGATGGTGTGCCACTTACTTGAAATCTTGAAAAATCTGTTATAATCTCTTTTGATCAACGAGAATGGCGCCATGCGTCCCAGCTTTTCACAGGGACCGACTTTGTCTATGATGCGTATCGCTTTTGTTGAGCTCGGTCTGACAGAAGAGGCCATCCCTTTTTCCCTTTTTCTGACGATTTTAATAACTTCACTTCACATAGCCCAATTCGAGGGTTGGGAGTTTTGGCCTGAGTGTGAGTCCGATATGTCCAGTGGGACAAACAGCACAGCGTACCTTACGCTTGCCTCTTCTCCGAGGACAAATTCTTTTTTTTATTCTTTTGGAGGGGGGGTGAGTCCACCTCCGTCGATACACATCCATTTTTTCTTTATACCAATTTTAAACGATACTTTTTTTTTAAATACTTCTCTCAGGCATGATGTTGCCCACTCGTGCTCGGCGTTTCGGCGCTCAAAAGCCGCAGTACGACATCTGGGGAAATGTACGGTGACCTTGCCAGTCGGATGACACTCATGGCGAGCCTAAGGAAGCTACACGGTTGATTTAGTCGCACCCGCTTATGTTCAATTTACGACAGTAATATAGAGTAAGAGCAAAGGTAGGTGAGTTAGCTGACATAAGAAGGGTCCCCTTGGCTCGGTAGAGAAGTGAACATGGTTACGCAATTGCCACCTAACCAGACTATTGCGGAATTGAACGTGCAACGCCCTCTATCAAAATCCTTCTATGAAGCCATGGAGATGGGGGCGGGCGTAACGTTTTTCGTTTCGCTTAAAGGCACAGGATGCGATTGCAAGGGAAATTGTGCTGACACGAGAAAGTAATAGGGTGACTAAGCATACGATATACTGGCGCGTTATTGGCGACGGTATGCTCGCTGCTCATGGCTTTCATTTTTTTCTCAGCGCTTCTCTTTCGAGTTATGGCCATACCTCCAACGTAGCTAACCAAGCCGCTGGTCTTTATCCGTCTGCGCCCTAGCCCATGCAGCAGAGAAGCAGAGCACGGCGTTCTCGTTGATGATAGGAGCTAACGCTGAATCTCGTCCAGCGCTAAAATGAGCAAGTGAAAGGAGGCAAGCAATTTTTCTTGATTTCTCCTTTACTAGAACAGTGAAGGAGAATGCAATCCATTTTTGTTTGGCAGCCTACCAAATCACCTTAGCCAGTGCCTTTCAAAAAATGAGGTGCGCTTGAAATTAATAGCTGTTTTTCGGTCTGCTAATCACAAAGGCAGATAGCTTCGAAAATAATTTTTCAGGACAACTACAAGTATCGGATCCTGTTGAAAGTTACCTGTCTTCCTCGTCACCCCGTTTCCCCCTCCCTACCTCCCCCCCCCTTCCGCAACATTCCTTCCCCACTGGCTCCGCACATCAGCAAGTGACATCCACTATTAAAATCCAGTCGCTGTGGTTTCGTCAATGTGTTTGGAATTTTGACAGCCTTCTATGGCTGGTTCTATCTGCTTCTGACTTTTCTAATACTCCTTCCTTTTCATTGATCTCAGTTTCCCGTATCACAAAAATTAATTCAGGTAACTCCAGAAATGGGTGAAATTTTGAAGCGTGGTGGCTACCGTGTTCAAAGTCGTGGAAAGATCAAAGTGAAGGGCGTGAAGGTAGGTCTTCCGTTTGAACAATATGGCCAAAAAAGGTGGGCCAAAAAGAGGCTATGTACGGCGCCAACAACTTTTCTTAACCCAAGTACAATCCCTCCCCATCAGTATGGGCCAACGTTCGTCCGATTGACTGTTCTCATCAGTCCCCATAATTTCACTTTGTGCGTCTGCGAGCTTAAGTGCACCTTTGGAAAAAAATCAATAGTAGAGAAAGCACGAAAAAAAGTAATTTCAGGAACCGATGGAGACATTCCTGATAGAAATCGACTCGAAAAGAAATTCTTCCGTCTCAAATATCTCGAACCATCCAAGTACATCCTGAAGATCGGTGCTTCTGGTGCTGACTGATTGAGTGATCTGCTTACCTATAGTGTTAATTTATTGATAATTACTGGTACAACACGCTTCTTCTTTTTGTCTGTGCATTGGTCAGTCTAATAAAATTCTATAAGTTCTAGTCTAGCTCTATTCACCCACATCAGGTGACTTCTTGAGAACGCAGAGACCAGAAAAAAACAAAAAGGCAAGAAAAACCTTTCCCCGTCACAAAGCGGGATCAACTTTGGAGAAAAGGCGGAGAAGAAGGAGGGTGGTTCTTTAAGGCCGATGTCAGACTTTGCGCCCGCGATCTTGGCGCACGAAACTTCGGATCCTTTATCTTGACACCTTGAAAACTCTGACAACGAGTAAATATGAAGAGTGAAGGCATGGCGGAACGAAGGAGCTCCTCAGTGCTCTCAGTGCCCAGTGGATTCGACGTCATCGGTTTCACAAGTTGGATAGATCATTCGAAAGCCATACCACCACTGACGCTCCAGACCCATTCGTGAATCTGAACCGAATCTGGTCACTTTTAGAGATGCAGAAAGAATACCATACAACGCCTTCCTGGAAAATTTAGTTCACAGAAGATTTTTATAATTCTTTCTCTACATAACTTAAGCTCGGTGCCAAACTCCAAAATTCCGGCTTTCCCAGTAGCTGCGTAGGAATTCCTTCCTTTACATATCTGAAGCTTTTTCTTACCGAACATTGGATTAGCGAGCACAAATGCTATACCGTGAAAAAATGGAAAGGAAAATGTAAGTTACTATTAAGAACCACTCTGAAGTACTGTCAAGTTAAAGTAAAGTAAGAAATCGGCCTCAGCGTCTTACACGTGTGGGCTTGCCAGAATGGCTATAACGGTTTCCCATCGCCACGTGTGTGGCGGCTGATTCTGTCGAAGCGCACAAATTTGGACTCCCTCATCCATGCCCCGAGACTATTCCGTGTTGAAATATGGAAGCAAGCTTTTTCCCTACTGTTAGTTTCCCAGTCCGTTCGCTAGTGCTTGCGCGAAAATGCCGCCCTACTGTCAAATCAAAATTTTGTTCAGCAGTTGCTGCAAATCATCTTGCTTCTACACGGCTTCACCAACCTCAAGTGATTAGTTTGAGCATGAGGTACTGTGTTTTTCCTTCCAAAACGCCTTGTAGTGACTCTCTTGTTTCCTTTTTTCAGGAAATTTCCTTGCCTTATGGCAACACCTTATTATGGTGTGGATGATCTGCCTCGAATCTTAAAAAAGGAGCGAGCCGTCACGCCTTCGCACCAGTTTTCCGCTTCACAGCATCTACTTCGTTCTCATCGCAGGATTCGGGGCAACTCTAGTTAAGCCTGGGAGGGGGCCAGGGGAGCTCTGGTGTAAATGCAAAATCTCAACGTACCTAAGCCTCGCCCCTCCCATGCGCCTATAGCATAGTCCCGACTTTCACCAAGACAAAACAGACTTTTATATGGTGCCTATTTTTGAAGACCCCATCACTGAAAAGCAATTGGTCGAATGAGACGGTCCTGTAAGCCTCAGATTGCCTTTTCCAGTTAACCCCCCCCCCTCGGCTGAAAAGGAATCTGAAGTAAACGACATTGCTTTGAATACGGATCTGCAGGTTTCATTGATTTACGCACACTGATGATAATTGTTAAATCAATTTGATGTTTGGAATTGGCATACAGAATCATACAGTATCCTGCCGGAATTTCTTGAAGAACCACCCTCGCTTTCCCGCCTTTTATCCAAAGTTGATGATGCCTGCTTCGCGACGGGTAGGTTGTTTCTTGTCTTGTTGTGTTTTTTCTGGTCTCGTGGCGTTCTCATGAAGTCACCTGATGTGCGTGAATAGAGCTAGACTATAACTTATAGAATTTTCTTAGACTGACCAAATGCAGCAACAAAACGAAGAGCGTTGATTGTACCAGTAATTATCAATAAAGTTAACACTATAGGTAACAGACACTTCAATTATCCAGTCACCAGAAGCAGCCGATCATCGTTCAGGAGTATCTTGGCGATGGTTTCGAGATAGTTTGAGACGGAAAGAATTTCTCTTCGAGTCGCTTTCTATCAGGATATGTCTCCATCAGGTTCCCTGAAATTAACTTTTTTCGTGCTTTCTCTATCTTGTTTTTTTTTTCAAAGGTGCACCCTAACTCCAAAACTCGCAGTTCGGGGGGGGGGGGCGACTCCATTGCTATCTTATCCCCGTAGTACTAGAGAGCAGTTCTCTTTGGGCTATCGAACGACACGGATAAAATAATAAGTGAACGCGACTCATTTCGAGCGCACTTTTGATAATGACGCGTGGCATGTCCTACATTTCCACACTACCTGCCCACATCCATCCACTTTTCTCGGCACAGGGTGGACTCCACCCTGGAGGCTCCTGGCACCCTTAGCCGTTTGCGGAGGTGGTCCTTTCTCCTGGTACAGGACCGTTCCTGGGTCCATGGCGAGGCGGAAATGTTTAAAAACGTTTCAGGGTTTGTCACCATTTAAAACCAATTTTTCGCAGAAGTCTACTTTAAATGAGGTCGATTACGTGTCGTGAGCCCTCTATATCTTTATCTTGAGTATCTGGAGAACAAATGGAGCTGGCCCCCGACTGGAGATTTTCCCGTTGGCCCAATACTGATGGGAGGGATTGTACTTGGGTAACGAAGTTGTTGGCGTCGTAATAGCCTCCTTATTGGCCCACCTTTTTTGGCCATGATTGTTCAAACGGAACGACATACCTTCACGCCTTTCACTGATACTTTCCACGACTGTTGAAGCACGGTAGCCACTCACCGCTTACAAAATTTCACGCCATTTCTGGAGTTACCCCTGAATTACTGTTTTTGTGATACGGAACTGCGATCGATGAAAGGAAAATCGCAAATGGAAAGGAAAGAGTATTAGAAACACGTCAGAAGCAGAAGGAACCAGCCATAACAAAGGCTGTCACATTCAAACGCATTGACTGCACCAGCAGCGACTGGATTTTTTCATAGTGGAGTCACTTGCTCGATGTGCTGAGGCAGTGGAGGAAGGAATGTTGAGGCAGGGAGGGAGAAAGGGAGGACGGAAAAGACAGGTCCATTCAACAGGATCCGTACTTGTAGATTTCTTAACCATTATTTCTTCGAAGCTATCTATGCCTTTACTGATTAGCAGCCCAAAACATCTATTACTTTCAAGCGAAGCACAAGATTTTTTACCAGCTTTGGCTAAGGTGATTGGCAGGTTGCCCCACAAAAACGGATTGAATTCTTCTTTCATGTTCTAACAGTGAGGAGGGTGACGGAATCAGAAAAGAAATGGCTTCATTTCCACTTGCTAGGCGCCGGACACGATTACGTTACTCCGCATCGCCAAACAGAATGCCGGTGCTCTGTTCTCTACTGCCATAGCCTTAGAGCGCAGACGATAAAGCCCATCGGTTTGGGTTAGCTACTTAGAGGTATGGCATGACTCGATGGAAGGAGCGCTCCGAAAATAAGGCCATGATGCAGCCGAGCATATCCTCCGTCATAGAACGCGCCATAATATTCGTAATGCTACGGCACCCTAAATTCCTTTCTATTCAGAGCCAATTTCCGTTGCAATCGCACCCTGGTGCCTTTAAGTTTAAGTCGAAACGAAAAATCGCGTCTACGGCTCTGCCCATCTCCAGCGGCTCCCCTAGCAGGGATTTTGTAGAGGACGTTGACTGTTCACTTCCTCACAATAGTTCTGGTTAGTGCTTTGCAAATTCCGTTACATTTTCGCTATCGTTTCCCGATCAAGGAAACTCTTCTTATTTACTATTGACTTCATTAGCCTTACATTACTTTGACTAACAATATTAATGCCTTTTAAAATTGGAACATAGCGCGACTGCATCATACGTGTATCTTTCGCTTGGTCCCATGAGTGGTCCATTCGGCTGCGGAGGTTCACCGTATACCCCAGATATCGTAACTGCCGGTTTTTGAGCGGCCGATAGCCCCCCAAGCCAGCACAGTGGGGCGCAACCCTCATGCCTGAAAGTAAGTTCATCCAAAAGTATCGTTGGATTCGGTATCAAGAAAAGGGAGTGTGTGATGGAACGGAGGAGAGCTTCCACCCCCCCCCCCCGCTTCAGAAAAAAAAAAACAATTTGTTCGTTGGAGACGGGGCGAGCATAGGTACAGAATGTGCTGTGTTGTCCCACTGGGACTATAGGCATCGTCTCCACATTTAGGGCAAAAAACACGCAAACCACTCGAATTGCTATGTAAGAAATCTTTGATTAAAATCCACAAAAAGAGTAAAACGATAGCTTTCAATGTCAAACCGACTCCCCCAAAATGATACGCCACCATAACACAGTGCGGTTTCACGAAAGTGGGACGCATGGCGATTCTCAAATGACCTCAAGAGTCGATAACGAATTTGTTAATTTGAAGCAAAATAAGTGGTACACCCATAATATTTGTCTGAGATGATAATAATCGATGCTAAATGTATAATTTTGAAGCAGGTTCAACGCGCGCCCCTGCGCAGTTCCAAAGAGACGGGGGGGGGGGGGGCCCAGGTCCGTGTATGAGTTTTTTGAGGCACATCGTTATTTGGGCTTGGCAACGTTCACCCAGTCGAAACGGAGGTCGTAGCTTGTGGAAGGCGTGGGGTCAAGAATGCGGGAAAGGCGGACAGGTTTGACGGTTGGCGAATAACTTTATGACCAACTGAATTGGACGAATTTGGCAAAATTAGAGAAATTCGCCGGCTTCTTTCAGTCGGAAGTTAGCCCCCCCCTTCCTCTCTGAACTTCCCCGCCTTCCGCGCTCTCACCGTGCATCGACCGGCAATTTCGAACCCAAAAGTGGGCCGGACTTCGAGCGAGGCCCACTGTTTTGGAATGAAATACTGTAGAAACGGTCACAGCAACGGTGTGTTGGTGGAGCAGAAGATGTGGTTTCAAGGTTCTATAAAGGACCCTTGCGAGACAGGCTGTTGATGTGGATGGTGGAGGATCGTGTGGAAGACCCCCAAGTGGCGCG